GATGCTCAAGCATCTGTGAGGTTTATTCAATCTCCTACTCCTAAGCCTGCAATTTACCCTAGATTAGAGATGGACTCCTCCACAGGAATCTTGTCCATTCGCTGATCACTTTCTGAAAAGGAAATTCGGCTGGAAGAGACAAACAAAAAAGAAAATTGAAGGCCAGAAATTCTTTTTACAACTTCTCTTATTGCCGTTTACCCATATAAAAACGCGGGTACGAAATAATGGCACTTTCTTTTGACGCGTCTTTAATTCCTCTACGCGTTTAACATTTCTTTAAATGGGTTACTGTCCTCAAGGACCAGTTCTTCCTCCTTCTTTTCTGCGACGGTATTATCCGCCTCTTCCAGCCCCAGCAGATCCTCCACCGGTTGGGCTTCCGGATCCTGCTGATCCTCCGGCGTCAGCATGCGCACCAGCTCCCTCATGTACGATGACTGTACAGAAAAGACAAAAGAAAAAGCCCCAAGCAAAGCATCAAAAATTATTGCATGCGTTGTTTTGTATTTACATGCTAACCGTTTACCTTGTCTAAATGTTGAGACTCTTGGGGATCTAGCCCTGATATCCGCATAGTTCTGAGAGAAAACTTCAAATTCTTCATCATCAGAATCTAGCCCATTAAAAAATATATTGGGCATAGATCCTACTATGCATTCCTTAACTTTAGCTTTATCTAGCTTCAAAATTCTTTTCTTCCTCTGTTTTTAAATGCATGCACAAAAAGCAAAGCAAGCACAAAAAGCAAAAAGCATTGTTAATCATTTTTATTAAAAAAGCAAAGAAAAAATTGGCTAACCTTGTTCCTGATGAACTTGACAAGCCAGACCAAGAAAACAGCCAAAGTTGTGGCCCCTGCACCTCCTAGGCCCATAAAGACCAGAACCATGGCCGTCCACGGGTCCACATCCGCTTCGACGTGCGCAACACCATGTTTGATGTTGACCGTCACCTCCGGTGTCGACGATGGTGCCCTGATGACGTACGGCACCTCTGGGGCCACTACGACGCTTTGCTGCGTCGAGGGCGGCGCCCGAGCCACGAACGGCGTTTTGCTCGCCGGCACGTGGACAACCGCCAAGTTGGCCGTCGGCGCTACTGGGCGAGGCTCATCTGTATATACAAAACTTTTTATTAGAAAATAGGTGAAGGAACATTTTTTTTGTGTCTTGGTGTTGGTCAGGTGTTGGGTATGTGTTATGACGTTATGTGTGTGAGTTGTGTTGTAATGATTTATGTCTGTGTGAAACTGAAAAACAAACTCACCAACCACCGGCGGAACCGCCGCCGTCGAAACTTCTGGCTCGGGTGGTACGACCTCTTCGCACCACCTCCATGGCGTCACGACACGCTCCATCTCGGACCGGCGTCCGACGCAGACCGTCGGCGACAGCAGCTTCACCTCCTACAACCAAGATGGCTGTCACACTGGTCTTACAAACAAGCTTCCTGAAACTCACCTTCAAGTCCGCCTGCCTGACGCAGTCCAAGAACAGCGTCGCACCGACGAACGTTACGCGGCGCCCGTAGCCGCCGGCGCCCCTCACCTCCTCGCCGCAGACGTCCCGACACAGGAACGCACCGCCTTCGGGACCGCAGTCCGCACCAGCAGCCACCACTCCGACGATCAGCAACACCAGCATCTTCAGGAACGCCATCTGCAAAATTTTCGAAAAATTGTTATTTCTGAAAAGAAAATTTTTTTTTGTAACTCACTTTTCACTTGTTGGAGTTTTCCTTTAAAAAACTTGAAGATCCACAGTAGCACGAAGTCACTGGTCAGTCGAACGATTCGCGAAACAATATTTGAGGCCACCAACTCCAGGAGACCCATCAACTTCCAACGATTTCGTTCGACAGGAAGTCGTTACGACGCTGCGTCGTTCGAGTGCGTCCGACGCAGACCGTCGGCGACAGCAGTTTCACCTCCTACAACCAAGATGGCTGTCACACTGGTCTTACTAACAAGCTTCCTGAAACTCACCTTCAAGTCCGCCTGCCTGACGCAGTCCAAGAACAGTGTCGCACCGACGAACGTCACGCGGCGCCCGTAGCCGCCGGCGCCCCTCACCTCCTCGCCGCAGATGTCCCGACACAGGAACGCACCGTCTTCTGGACTGCAGTCCGCACCAGCAGCCGCCACACCGACGATCAGCAACACCAGGATCCTTAGGAACGCCATCTGTGAAAACGTTCAAAATTACTATTATTTCTGAAGAAAAAGAATTTTTTTTTTTGAACTCACTTTTCACTTGCTGGAGTTTTCCTTTGAAAAACTTGAAGATCCACAGTAGAATAAAATCACTGGTCAGACGAACGANAAGATATTTGATCCAGAATAAGAACTTGGTTCTTTTATTCTCGACTCAGTCCTGTAATAGAAAGGACAACAATTGTGAATGTGAAAGCTTAATCCCACATCAAACTGTCAATTCAAGCTTCATTGCTGAATATATTGCTAGATTTATGCAAAGTCGAGACCAATTTCAATTTCATGATATTCAAGCGTCGTAACGGTGAATATTTGTCACTCCTGCGGTTTCTCGCCTGAAATCATCCTTTCCGAATTTGAAAATAAAGAGAGAAACGTTTGAACAGACTTTAAATTGGCCTTTCGCCGATTGTCAAACTAAAAAAAAATTTAAAATGCCAACCAGACGCTTACCTAGGCAACCAACGCTGGCCAGAACGATGCCAAACAAATACCCATGTTTTCCCCGAGTCCACTTTTTGTCTACGAACAAAGGAGTCGTGAGTCGTGCGCACAAATCAGCAGCCGGAAACACGGACAAAACAGCGCTGATTTCAGTCTTCGATTTCCCGCATTCCGAAAGTTCAACGGCAAGGATGAAGCAAAAGTTGTTCAACCCGGTCCAAATGCAGCATTCGGAAAACGTTATGAGAGCAGCCATGGGAACTCGAAGCAATTTGTAGTCGATGTTGGAAATTATTTGTGTGAAAAACTCGGGTATTGATTTGAAAGCATCCATTGCTTGTCGAGTGCATGAAGTCGACTTCAGCAGCGGTGAGCGGTGATTTCCTCTTGCTCGGCTTTCCAGATTTGATAAAAAAAACGTTTTTAATTAAAACTCCGATAGTATTAAAAACAAATAGACGTTCAACCTGTTTTCGAAGGAAGGTTTCCTGTTTGTTTTGATTTTCCAGATTCTGTTTAATCGATTCAAGAATTTAATATTTACTACGCATGTTTGATACAGTCACACCAACTGAAATGTTTAAAAAATGAGAGTATTTATCGTACTTCCGAAATTAAAGACTGCGATCAGATGGGGAGACACTTTCTAGGTCGGAATAGTTTATAGAAAAATATTCTGGGTCGTACTTGCACAAACCGTTCTTACAATTTAGTTTATGGAATTGTCATGCAAATTATATTAAGATTGCGCAGACTTGATCAAAAATACACGCGAAGCTGAATCGAACTAAAATAGAACATCGGAAACCACGAGGGAAATTAGGCGTGCTTTCGCTACATGGCGGAGTTGTTGTATTTCACAGTTCCCCTGTACAGTATACTTGATACATTTGATTCAAAGTTTATTCGAGTATAGGCAGCACGCTTTAGTCATTGGAATAATGTATGTCAATCCCACACTCCGAATCCGACGATTCTAAAAAGTTTTTGTGAGATGAGAGAGCCCGTGTTTTTTTTTTTTTTTTTTTGGATGATTCGCTCGATTACCGCTCCTCACTTTACCGTAATCATTCCTTCTACCACAATAGTTTCATTTCATTTCAGTAATTTTCGAGAGGATTAGCCCGCCAAACAATGCCAAGGACGCGATGATGCTCATCACCAATAACGAACGTGATGCCAAACGAACCTCATTCCCAACTCCGTGACGACGCTGGCACCACGAGCAACAGCAGCAGTCGCTGTCGTCACGACACCCTCGCTGCTCTCGGCATGGGAATTGCTGAGCTTGGTGTCATCCGTAATAAGCCCAGCATCGTCATGCATCATTCCTTCACGTTTTCCCCCAGCAGCTACAGCAGCAGCAGCCTCGACACCGTTCGCGTCGTTCCTCGCGTCATTGACGGGTCTGAACGTCATTGCTGCCGGGATGCCATGTGCCCACACGCCAGCGAGCACAAGCAGGGCCCCAGCGTCACCCAGCTCCGATGCGAGGAACGCGCTTCCAGCTGGCAGCGATATTCGTCCCAACGCGGATCCCGCGTTGAACACGGACATGGCTAAGCCACGACGTTTGTCGAAGTACTGGTTCACCACCAGGAAGCTGAGTCCGTAGGACACGCCAGCAAAAAAACCTGTGTCGGGGAAAAAAGAAGGAAAACAGTACTCGCGGTTGTCACTGGAAAAAAAAGGAAAGAGTACCCGCGGTTGTCACTGGAAAAAAAGGAAAGAGTACCCGCGGTTGTCTCGTAACACAAGAATCAACTTGAATACAAAATGCGCTTGAGTAGCCAGTGTTCCACAATCGGTGGTCCGCGGACCGGCGCCGGTCAATAGAAGTTTTTTGCCGGTCCGTGGGAAAATTTTCAGAATAATAAGTTTATCAGAAATAGCATCAAAGTCTGGTGTCTTCATCTAAACTTTCAAAAATACAACGGCAGTTTAAATTCTCTGATGAAAAATAAAACTGGGCGTTTCTCCTAATAAGGCTTCAAACACATTTTCACTCTGGTTGAATTAAAATGTTTTTAATTTTTCATTCTGAAAAACTTTTCTTCATGTCCACCGTTCTAATTTTTTATGACGTTCCGCTAAATAGCTGCTTGATTGGTGCTCAACTTAATTTTTGCAAAAAAAAAGTAGAAAGTTCTAAATACCAGCCATAAAGCCTTCCAAGCAAAACCTTTTTTGAATCTGCAAAAATGTGATGAAATTTGGCCCATTATTTGCCAGTCCGCAAAAATTTTTATGGAAATTCGCTGGTTCGCGGGCCCCAAAAGGTTGGGGAACACTTCGCTAGACAAAACGGCGGGGAATATTCCGTAATAACCTAAAAACAGTTTCCTGTGCGGCTGGGGAAGGTATACTCCAAATTTGGGGCAAAATGTCACGAAACTCCTTGAGAAAAGAGAGTACGGTATTTTAATACTATATATATTTTTAAAGAGTCCAAAGCTTGATCGCATACTTTAAGTAGAGCCCCTCGAGTACGTCTACCATCAAGGCAAATTTTGGACAAAGATTATATTTTTGCGCACGCTGCGTTTTGCTTCTAAAACAAATGTTTTAAGTTTTTCTGCTTTCATATATTCTTCTTTTATTCGTGGGAAAAATATTAAATTATTATAGGCGGTGAGCGAGCATATACGCCATACTCAGATTTTGTGAAGACCTTTGATGAAATTATGTTTCAACCACAAAAAACTTGAAAATCTTGAAGAGAAAGTGCGAAATCTTGGGAGGCAAAACGCGTAAATTACGGTAATATGCCTATTCGACTTGTGAACTATCACGAACACTTCAATCTACTGTAAAAGAAAGTTATGTGGTCATGATATACAGTATGTCCATGATTTCCAATAATTTTGTCTGGCAGCTGACGGTGAGAGATTTTGACGTGATCCAACCTATAGATTTATAATTAATTCATTTGGTCTATTTACAGTAATTAGTTTTTTTAAGCTTCAATTTGAATTCGCATAACTTTCTTTATCATCAAACTTGCAATTCAGCATTCTTCCAATAATGTTGCGGCTGCTGAAGCTCGCGCTTTTCAATCTTCAAATTTTATTGGACAAATACACGAACTCGTCAAAATCAGGATATATTCAACAAAATGTTTCGGTTCACGTCGGCAGCAATGAAAATTTTGTAGCATAAACAAAAAATATGCATTTGGCAGTAGCTTAGATTCAGGACAAGAACATTAAACAAATGCTAATTAAGACGGCAAATATTTACGAGGCGTCCTTTTTTCAGCAACATAAAATGTACAGTTACGTGTTCCTAGCTGCTGCGTCAAAAAAGCAACATAATTTGCTGATTGCCACTGGATGTTCTTGTTTTTGCAGTTGATACAAATTGCGAGAAACTTGATTTTTCGGAATTCATCCGAACCTAATCCTTAAACTGCAGGGATAACGTTTTTCTCTTTTTTCATTCCCTATAAAGAATGCTGCTAGTAAATTCAATGGGCTCACGAATGTATGGACGCCACAATAAATAGGATATTTGTAGATTGTCGATCACCTTAGTCTTCCATGTCAATGAGCAACGATCAACGTGGTGTTGTAGGTGTTTTTGAATAAGGAAAAGCACGAAGTTCAATGAAAATTTATATCAAGAACTTAGTTAAACGTATGGAAGAGTGGCAATAATCAAATTACTGGACAAAATACTGCACCAGAAAATCTGAAAAACTCCTATACCACTGCTTTCCATTTTCAGTGATCGTACTTCCTTTTTGTACGTATCTTTTCTGGTAACTCAAACTGGTTCCTTATATTTTATTTCGAGTAAAGAGCTCTAACCTTGCTATTCACTACGTCTTTTTGTAGTACTTTACGTAGCTGGTACATAGGCAGCAATTAACATTTTCTTAAGCATTTATTGACAGAAGACTGTTTTGAATCCATAAATATATCACTTAAAAATTATTTTAGCTTTTCAAGGAAATATTGAGCATAATGAAGAATATAGATGTCAAAAATCTGTGGATAGTTTTTCTGTAAAGTAAGCTGGAAAAGGATCACATCAGTTCCACATCAGTGCTTATCGTAAACCTCCTTTTTCCGCACTAATGATGTACCGCATCCACCAACCACCAACTAGTTCTCTCGGTCTATTTATCTCTTAAAAATAGAACTAAGTGATTCGAGAGATGCTCCAAAAATAATAAATCAATTGCAGTCCCGCCGTAAGTTCGTCATGCTCGTCACCTTTTCATCTGGTGGGATACATCGTTGGGAAAATCATGGCGAGCAAATTCATGCAAAAAAATTCCTACATTCAAAAACTATACATAAATTATGAATAATTTCTCCTTCGAGTTCTACGGACTCAGGAAAAATGCACGGTTGTTTGCCACTATATTTTGATCAGCACGCGCGTGCTGTTGGCAGCGATTCGGAATTAAAATATCTTCCAAAAATGCCGCACTACGCCTGGAGAAATAATTTTTCCCTTCAGAATTTGAATAGTGTATGAGCAATCGAAGGTGCATTGACGAATAGGATGCGTTACAATAGTTGATAGAAATTTACGGTGACGAACGGCCGCTCACATGGAAGTTTCGCTCAACGAAAACAACGGCTTAAAGATGCGCAGGCTTTTTGATTATCGAATATAGCCTGTGTTGTATATTGTATTATTTTTTTAATGCGTTTCGCTCAGAAACTTTATCACGTTTTGAGATTTAAAAAATTCTCAATAAAAATCTGCGAGATTCACCAAAGTAAAATTGGCGCACGTTACTTACAAAATAGCAAGCTGTAGCTGGCAACGAACTGTCCCACGTTCTGTACTTGAGATGTGGCGGTTAATCCGATGAACATCATCAGGGAACAAAACACGGATGTCGGTCGCAACCGAAGTGTTTTTGAGATCGGCCCAGAGAAAAACACTAGCATAAGCGAGCAGTTAAAAAAAAGCCCATCCTCAAATATCGATTGAAGCGGATTGAATTTTCATTAAAATTCGAAAGGGCGTCATGTGAAAACTTACCACCGAGAGATGAGATCGCTACTGATAAAGTGTTAACTGAAGGAATCAAAGATGCTTCCACGCTTCGCTGAATGAGGAACTCATTGAATATGATGCCAAATGACGTGCTCATGGAAATAGAAAGAGTCTAGAAGAATACGGTATTCATCAGAATAATGCAGCAGTGTCTCGTTATTTACTGTATAATGCATATACATTATCAAAAATCTCTTCAGGTTATCCGGCTTACACATCAACAGTATAAGAATTCCAAGTTAATCATACGACCCAAAACGGTTTGCTAAAATCTTATTTCACTTCTCTCAGATTTTCCTCGAAATCACCATGATATTTTTGAGAAGTCATTGTCGGCGAGAGCAATGGGAAATAAACATGGTATAGAATAAATTTATTGTTATTTTTAGAAGCAAGAAAATATAACAACTACACGTGACGGAAAAGTTAATTACGGCAACAAGACAGTACTCAAGATTTTCTAGATATTCCGGTGATACAATATTCCGTCGTTTGAAGAGTTCTTTTCAAATCCGCGAATAATTATTTTTCGGTCTGAGACAGTTCATTTTTTTCATCGTAAATTTTACAGCATTTAACTACTGATGTATCTGGGGGAAACATCCACTAACAAGGACATACCGTTTCGAGATTTGATTTTACAAATCTCGATAATTCAATTGTTCTTGGATTTTCGAATTTAATATTAAACTTGTGTTATTCATTTACAAGAATGGGCGTGTGTTTTCCATGAAAAAGACGAACATTCAAGTTCAGGTGTTAAAGCTATATTCGCCTGCAAGAATAGTTTCTTTTTTTGCACTCAAATATAGTGTAGAAATTAAAGGAATCAATGGAAATTGAACAAAAAAAGTCCTTACCCCCAAAATCGTGCCTGAGAAAAGAATGATCCACGCCCATCCGGAATCCAATTTGAACGGATTTCCGGAAGGAGGCTCGACGCTGTGTTTTTCAGACTCAGACATTTTTCACAAGCACGCTCTAATTCACCTTCAGACCGAGCAGGACCAGCCGTTTCAAGTTTCAAGTCATTTCTGGTTATTATTTAGAAGATTTTAATTTTATGCACGAAATACATATTGAAGTAGTATTGGTGAACTGGACTACGTATAAAGAATTTTTTGAAATAACTGACACTGTGGAAGCGAAGACTGCGCATGTGAGGGTGCGGGAATAATGAGAAAGACTGCATCGCTAAGGCACAGTTTCAGTTTAAGGTCTGGAACCCGGTTCAGGCACAAGTAACGACTCCTTCGCTAAAATAAATCAATGGGATCATGTACGAAGCAAGCATGAAACATATACGTTACTGTACACCAAAGTTTGGCATTAAAAAAAGGAAACCTTTGCCAGACTCAGTTTCCACCAGATGCAGTCTAATTGGCTTTGACCGCAGCTGCAGAGGCTCACGCTGCTTAATTTCAACTGCTCAGTGGAAAAATCGTGAAATTTGGCCTTTTCCGTTTTCGTTCAGAAATAATGAGCAGATATCAGGTTTCGAATGACTAGGTTTCTGGCAACGAGATCATTTGCGGGAGACGGTGCTACAGAACACATGTCGTTCTGTGAGAGCTCCACTTATCGCTCTCTGACAAAATGCTACAAATGGCGCGGTACATTATACGGAATTATCGGCGTTCGCGTCTGGAGCGCGGTCGGACCGATTAAGGGTGAAGTTCTTGAATGTTGTGTGCCGTGGAACCTATCTTATAAATTGTAGACCAGTGGACTCCTAGCCTAAATAATAATTCATGTTTCTGCTGAATTTCTTGTGTTTTTCGACAACTTGCGTTAAGTTCCCATCTTCAGTTTAATTTAGTATGAATAACTCAGAAGGATAGCATCCAATGTGGAATGAGCCCAGCGTCACCTGTGATCATTCCTAATCACACAGATTATTCCTGAAGTGGGAAAGATTTGTTCCAGTTAACATAAGGAGTTATGCCTCTTTGTTCCGTTCCATTAGCATTCTATTCCCCACTTGCTTTATGCAGGTGCTTTGCAGATGTATCTAAAATAAGCCTAGGTTTCAGAAAACGATGAAGCGTCAACGTTCAAGCACATCAGCAAAAACGAAAAATTCTCCTGTGAAAAATATCATTCGGGAAGCTAGTTCTAGTCGATCTAAGAGAAGTAGCGGAAAATCATCGGAAAGCGTCGAAGCCGTGAGAGCAGCAGTGAGTATACGTTTTACTACTTTGATTTTGAGCCATTGGACGAGGTTTTTAGCCATCGCGAAGCATCGGCGTGGTTTTCTTAACTATTTTTCGAGACGTCACGGTGATGCAACGTTTCCTCATGACAGCATGAGAAATCTGATGTACTCCTCGCGAAGAACATATGGCGTTGGCGTTCTCTGTGCGGACAAATGTGTTGCGAAAAGTGGTTAGGAAGTATTATGATGCTGGTTGAAGTTGTGTGAGCCTTTGGGACGGCGGAAAAACTTCGAAGCTTCCCCATAGCCACAAAATCTACTGCATCACCTTCTACTGATGTTGTGTAATAGCACCCCAGAACCGCCGTTGATCTATCTTTACGCTCAGTATGGTTCTTCCTCTTGCCCGCTCTGCGTCGGCGTTGCAGTGTCCAGTTCTCGCTTTAGTTGTTGAGGTTTGTTCTTGTTTTCGTGTTTCTGCTGAAGCGTGGCGTGTTCAATTTTGATATACATATGAATGTGATTCTTCCTCTTCTGAAATACATCGTGTGAATTTACGACCATTCGACCCCTTCAGTTATGGATTGGTGAGTATTTGGTCGTCTTCTGCCCGATGAGTAAAATTTAGAAGAACTACAGTTTTTGTGATTTGTATTTTGAAGAAAGAAGTTTTTCTTCATCTTCGAAGAGATGGCGTTTGCCCCGGACAGGATTTTCGAAATTGGGGTGGTGATAAAATAATTGTTAATCTTGGGAGTATGAAAAGGGGCTTGGTGTCTTCTAGTTGTAAGTGCATAAGCTGGGGAAAATTGCGCGTCATGACCGCGCATTGGACATCCATCGTCGGTGATCCTGAAAGAAAACCGTTTTACACCAATACGTGTTAATTCCCGAGGGTGTCTAGACAACTCTTTCCGATTAATGAATTATTATTGTCCTGAAATGCATGTATCTTATTCCTGGTCGCACTTTTCCCGTCTAAATGAAATCAACTTTGAAAGTCTGTATTGCCTATCAGCATGAACTTCCGAAAATTGCTCAAGCGTAAAATCACCCCAGATATTCTCGTGTTGGCCGCACCACGGTCTTGTTTATGCAGCTCATGTTCGAGATTGTGCAATCCCCGCAGTTGAAATACTTCCAATGAACGAAATCAGTTTATGTTTCACCTCAGACCAGCTGAAAGATGCACTTTTTCCCATTCAATGTTATTCAGAGATTATGAATTATCGCGCTAAAGCGATGCGTAAGAAAATAATTTTGCATATCCTTCGTTTATGTCTTGGATCAGGAAACTTTATGATGATGGAAGCTTTTTCCGAAATGTTGAGGGGCTGCTAAAGTGCCCGATGAGGTGCCAGACAGCCTTCGTAATTCTTTCAGCGGCTGAACGTCGACTCTGCGCACAGACCGTGGCCGAAGTTTGTTAACGAATAGAAGCAGACTGATTGCCACACTTCCCAATTTCCAAAGGCAAAGCTCCCGGAAACCTGTTCGCGGAGTGGTGGGAAAAATGGGTTGCGACATCGTATTGCGCTTGAGCACCCCAGGCTGATGAGCATTGCGACTTCGACCGTGATTACGCGTGTCATGGACACGGGCAATCGCGTGTACAGTATGTACTGTACTTCAAAGTCATTTCCAGTTTCATCTCGCCTTGCTGGATGTAGAGACGAGTCGAACGACTTCATCAACATTTGCAAACGAGATCGAAACGTCGTTAGCTGTTCATTAATCCGTTGTCTCCCATGCACAGGATGAACTCGAAAATAATGAATTGATTTCATGGCTGCAGTAGCTTGTGAGAGGTCTATACTCTAAGCTATGGTGTTGAAAGCAGTAAATCAAAATGGCTTTTCATATCCGCGCTTATGAATTGAAATGGGCTGGTTCATCAAATGCGCGCGTTTGGATTGTATACTGTAGCAGGTGTAAAATTCTGGCGTGGATTCCTGCAAGGGTAGAAGCGTTTCCAAGTTTTTTGTTATTGATCGGACTCTTCGATATTCGACCGTGAAAAACTTCGCTATTATTTAGAGTGATGGTTCAGGATCGTGCGAACTTTTTTTTTTAGAGTAGCTTCTTTCTAATTTTTGAACGGGCTGGAAAGGATTGAAAATAAAATGGTGACGACAGATTTCCGCTTTCCTGCAAAATTTCCTCACCCCTTGATTAAAAAGTTCCCGTATTTTTCTTCGCGTTTATTGGTTGATCCGGGAAAAATCAATAAAAACAATGGATTTCAGATGAGCTATTTTCCAAAAAGGTTGTATAAAATGTCTTGGACTCTCGAGAGAAAATTATTCAAAGAAGCAATCACATCAAGCGACTTCCGTTCAATTTCAACCGGCGTACGAGTCAGATCAATAAGTCGAACTGGCGTAAGTCGAAGGAGAATTGATGATGCTTTGACTTCATGATCTTAAATTCCAAATCGGAATTTCGGGGGGCTGCAGCTTGAACATTGATTTACGAACTGCATTATATTGCCATGATTTAATTCATGCCGCTGATGTCATCAACAAAGTCAAGGTTTTTAGTGGCTCGCGAGTAGGAAATGAAACCGGGTTACCTGAGACAATGGTTTGTCCTGCGTCGGTTGTGTCACTTGTTTCAGTGTAACCGGTAGAAATACAGGTATTTTGAAAGATGCTTTGTCGGGGCGTTGGAGTATTGCGAAGTTCGAGGTCTTGTGCTCGCCGCAGTGAACTCGTAAATATTCAAGACGGCGTGCTCGAACGTGTTTCTTGATTGCCTCATCTGGTGGCCTACACTCCCTACAGAGCATGACATAATCCCGGTTTTCCTATTCTGTCTTGCACTGGAGCGAGAGAAAAAAAGCGTCTGGCTTCCCGCGTTTTAGCCTATGAAGTGCATTCCTAATGTTTCGCGGAAAGTGGCCGATCTATCGCTGATTCATCTTTTCAGAATCGACCATTTATTTCTTTTCATTAATGATTAACTCACGAAATTGGTCACATCTTTTATTTGCTTTGCATTATGGCTTCATGGAAAATTTATTTTTGGCTAGTTCTTTCAGAAAAAAGATTCAGAAAGTTGCTCGCCTGCTGAATTCTCGTTTGCGTTCATTCGTTTCCACCATGTTGATCAGATACGTGGCTTGCACTGAGCGCCTAGCTTTTTTTTTTTTATGGTGCTCGGTGTTACGAAATGATGATTGTTCCTTCCTCGTGTGAGTGGTATGGTTCTCATCAGTGCATCGAGTCGCTTGTTTTCTTTCATTCTGTCTTACAATCTGGAGATCGCTGTTTTGAGTGGATTGTTGACGTTCGTGGTGCGTTGGCGCTTATCTGAGTCTCATTGCCTGTTATCTCTATCGTCGTCTCGAAGTGCCATTTCAAGCATCGTGGAAGATGCTAGGACTGAGGAAGCTTTTACCGGAAACGTTTGCATCAGATCTAGGTCCTTTTGACGAGGTGAATTGTATCTTGTTTCGGTGCTTTAACAGTTGAGCGTACTGAGGTGGATTCCCTCTACAATTAAGTTCACGCGGCCAGGAAAAAAAACTAACGTGTAGAATTTCATTGCAAAGAACCCGTATAACATAGTGAGAGAAGCATGTAGAACCTTTAAAAAATCCTTATGATGGGAAAATCGTTGTAGAGAGTCTACTTTTTACTTCCTCGTGCTTACGAGTGTCTTCGGTAGTTACTGCGGGGTACTGTACTTAGTTTTATGTGAATTTTGCAAGCGCAGTCAGTCCATTGGTATTTATGTTGATGAAACATCGATCGGCTATTATTCCGTGGTTTTGTGGGGTGTCAAAGAAACCAGTGCAGTGATTATCAG